ATCCGCGGGCAGCCAAACCTCACCTCCCGGCGGTGGCTCCGTGCCGCCCGCCACCGTCCCGGCCTCACCTCGGCGCCGGCCCCGCCTCACCCCGCACCCGCACTCACTGCCGGCCGCTGCCCCTCCGAGCCCGGTGCTGCCCCCCGGCTCCCCGGGAGCAGCCGCAGCCCCGCCGCGGCCGTTCCCCGCCGCCCCCGGTGCCGAGGCCGCTGCGGCCGCCGCGGGCGGCACTCACACGCCTCATCGCCGCCGCTCTCCGCGTCGCCGTCCGAGAAGGACTCGGCCCCGTCGGCGTAGCCCGCCAAGCCCACGATCTCCTCCTCCTCTTCCTCCTCGTCCCCTTCTTCCTCCTCCGGCAGCTTCCTCGGCACCTGGCTCATGCCTGCCGCGCTCCCGGCGGGGCTCCGCGGGCCCCTCTGCCTCCGGGCGGGCTCGGGGCGCGGGGGGCGCAGATCCCGCGCTGGCGCCGCGCCCGCCGCCGCCGCTCCCCACCTTCCCCCCGCACGGCGCTGGTGGAGCGCGGCGCGGCTGCCGGCGGGGCGGGCGGGGAGGCGGCGTGACCCGCGTCACCTGACGCGCCCGGTCACGGCCGCCGGGGCCTCCGCGCCCGCCGGAGCCTCCGCGCCCGCCCGGCCCCGCTCCCGCTCACCAGCCCGGCCCCGCCGCTGGCTCCGGGCGCAGGCGGGCAGAGCCGGGCGCTGCGGGGCTCACCCGCGGGCACTGGGGCCTGCCGGGCGCCGCCGCGGCCGCCCTGGCTGCGCTCCCGTGGGAGCGGTGCACACGGGAGGCGCTGCCTCACGCGTGCGGGGCGCCGGAGTAGGTGAGCGAGTGGCCTGGTGTGCCAGGCAGCAGCACCGTGGCGACAGCTGGTGTTTCTATTACAGGCAGCCTTCCTCAGAATCAATTAGGTTGGAAAAGACCTCTGAGATCATCGAGTCTCCAACCTGTGACCTAACACCACCATGGCAACTAGACAATGGCACTAAGTACCACATCCAGTCTTTCCTCAAATACCTTCAGGGACGGTGACTCCCCCAGCTCCCTGGGTAGCCCATTCCAATATCTAGTAACCCTTTCTGTGAAGAAATTCTTCCTAATATTTAACCTAAACCTACCCTGGTGCATCTTGAGGCCCATGTTGTCCCATCCTGTCGCTGATTGCCTGGGAGAAGAGGCCGACCCCCACCTGGCTACAACCTCCTTTCAGGTAGTTGTAGAGAGTGATAAGTCACCCCTGAGCCTCCTCTTCTTGGTCACATCCTGTAGCCTCACCTTGCACAGAGCCCAGAAATGGTCTCAGGACTGTCCTGCATCACCCCTACATGCTGTCAGCATGTGGGAGACTGTGGGACCCAGGCAGAGCCTGTGTGTACCTGGTGCTGCTCAGCTCACACATCTGCCCTGCCTGCTCCAGGGCCAAATGGTGCTGGCAGCACTGCTTGTACCTGCCCTGCTGTCCTTCCATGCTGGCTCAAAGTGTTAAGCCAGGCACTAATAGCGGGTGGTAACATATTTGCAGTACAGGTGAGAGAGATTTTTTTAGAAATAATGATTAATAAGGAACACTAAAGAAAGCCATAGTAGTGAAACCTTGGAAGAGGATGGAATTTTGATGCCCTGGTCAGACCAAGGTGCACTCAGTTGCCTGCCATTGCTTTCTGCAGGCCTGTTCCATGAAGACAGACCTTCTGTCCCTCAGCCAGGCCCCTCCTCAGGATTTTCCAGTGCTGCTCTTGTTGTCTTGTACCAATCTAAGTACCAGAATGTGTGCGTTAGCCCCTGACTGTCATCCTAAGCTGCCTGTTATGGTGACTAGCAGCTGAGTTCCTGATTCTCCAGCAGCAATTTTTCCTCTTTTACTACTTCCTCCTGTCCTGTTCTCCCTCCTTGTATTCAGTGTAATGGTTGGATTTATGTTGGAAGTCTCCACATGTTTTCTGCAGCTGATTATTTTCCCACCTTTATGCTGCATGACAGTCTTCTCATCGGAAGGCCTTCCAGGTTGCACTAACCCACTGGAGATAAGGGAAGCACACATTTTGTCTAGAGAGGGAGAAATCCCCCCCTTATATTCCACATCATGACAAATGTACCCATACACAATTTTATTCAAATACTTGTCTTTATTCTCAACTTATCAACCCACTCCGAAGTTTTGCTTGAACAGATTAATAGTGTACTAAAAGATTATGGGAAACATGTCAAATTTAAATCCTTTACAAGGAATTAGGACTTAGGTTTGCAGCAGGTTTTTTTTGTACCAGTCATGTTTTCAGCATTGTGTCTTGGGACAGCCCTGGGAGGAATTAATCTGCTGAAAACTTCTGATGAAAAAAGGAGGAGAGTTTCCAGGTCTGTAATGAAGGGCCACCTATCTCACACACCATAGGAGCACATATGTGCAAAAAGGGCTGTTGGGTTTCAAGGTCAGCTATGGGAAGTGGGTCTTGCCCAGAAATCTGACTGTCTGTATTAGGTTTCTTTTATACAAAGAGCTATGAAACATCACCAGCAAGACAGAGAATAATTTGGAGGTATTGAAATACTAAATCAGGGTGTGGAAACTCAAAAATGAGGACTAGTTAAAATGCAGCTCTTCCCACAACCTTCCCACAGCTGATGTCAGTGACCTGCCTGATGACAGCTTCAGGTTCAAAGCCACATAGACTCCAGGCCTATTGCCAGATAGGTTTTTAGGGTAAGGCTGAAGCACTTCTACCAACCCCTTGATAATATAATCTATCATGGAATCTACATAAGCCTCCTCTGTCCCTTTGCCTCCAGGTGGTTTTCTGTCCCCTCTGCACCTGGCCTTTTTCTTTCCTTCTTTTTCTTTTGTCAGGCCATTTGATTTTGAAGCTGGTTGCACATAATGAAACAGCGCCCAGCCTTCAGTCACAAGACTTGTAGTAAGGGCAGGTAGATGAAGGGTTGAGTACTTGAATATATGATATGTACAGTATTAGATGTGATTGAACTTTGTCTGTGGGGAGCTGCAGTTCATAGACATGACATAATTTCTGGTTTATGCAACTGACGGAATCCCTCTTGAATTTCTCTTCCCAACAGGAAAAAACATCCAGAATACAAAGTTGTCTGTCTGGATTAAAAAAGGTTAATGTTAATTAAGCACAGGGAATAGCCCCACTGACATCCACACTATCTGCATCCAAGTTTACAGGATCATGATACCATCTCATTCTGTTCCTTTTAAAGAGGGAAAACTCCCATGAAATAGATTGCTGGCTGGCAGATCAGTGCCAAGAAAGCCTTTTTCTGCAATGTGTTAACATCTTGTTTCTCAGTCGTAATGATCAAACATAGCCAAAATAGTCCTGCAAACTTTTACATATATGGAACTTATTTAACATGAGCTTAATTGTTACTCACACAAATACCTCCATTCCTACATCAAAATTTTACAGTTTCCAGTAGAAGAAAATTCACATGAAGTCAGCCTATCCTGAATATGGAAACGAGCAAATGAAATTGTAGTGTGAGGAATCACAGTGTATTTTTATGTGTTTTAGTAACTACATTCTAATTTCAGTAATGACACCAGACTTCAGACTAATGTTGTCGTTTTGACAAAGCTTTGCTGAGATCAGAGAAGCGTCAGAACAATAAATCCAGTCAGCCAATCTCCTGTAGAGCACCAAGGGTTTTTATGTGAACCTATGGTGTGACTATTGCCACAGAGCAGTGACTACCATATTAATTATTTAGTGAAAAAGGCATAAGTAGATTTATCTGCAAAAACCTTCAAAAGAATGTATTCATCACTAACATGTGATACTTCAATGTCTAGTTCATTTAGGGCATCAGTTCATTTAGGGCATTCTGAGAATGCCTTTGAGGCAGAGAAATGGCCTTTGAAAGTGATGTGCCTGTGGGATCAAGGATGGTATGAAGAGCCACTTGCTCTCTGTTTTCTCCTTCTAATCCTGCTTTTATCATTTTTCTCAGCCTACTCACACAAACTCCTTTCTCCTGTACTGGTGTCTAGGGATGGTCCCATCTAACTTACCTCCCCTACCAGTTTATGAATTACTGACATTCGCCTGTAATTGCCCAAACACATGACTTGGATGAGCAGAAGGTCCCTTGGGACATTGTGATAGCTGGAGGGTTGGGTGAGGTAGTGAGTAGAACCAGCTTTCAAGGCATCCCTCTCTGACCTTCTGCCTGCACTTCAAAGCCTGCTGGCTGGCTCCCTGCTGGAGGCAAAGGCATCTGGCCTCCCTGAAATTGGGAAAATTTTACTGTGTCCAAGTCTGTGCACCTCAGTAAAAGAGAGACACAGAGCTCCTGGAGCCAGTCCAGTGGGGGGCAATGAGGGTGATTGGGGAATGGAACATCTGTCTTATGAGGAAAGGCTGAGCGAGTTGGGCCTGTTCAGCCTCGAGAAGAGATGACTGAGAGGGAATCTCATTAAGGTGTATAAATATCTAACGGCGGGGGGGGTGCCAAGAAGTATGAACCAGGCTAGTTAGTGGTCCCAACTGCTAGGACAAGAGGCAGAAATTCATGCACAGGAAGTTCCACCTGAATATGAGGAAGAACTTTTACTACCCAGGTGACCATGCACTGAACAGACTGCCCAGACAGGTTATGGAGTCTCCCTCACTGGAGATATTTGAGAACCATCTGGACACAGTCCTGTGCAATGGACTGCACAGGACGATCCTGCAGGGAGGTTGGACCAGATGACCCACCGCGGTCCCTTCCAACCTGACCGATTCCGTGATTCCGTGGGTTTTTCTGCTCCTACTCAAACTATTACGAGCTTCCGTAATTAAGTTGCAAAGGAGCTTCGGTTCAGGAGCGCGTCCGGCCCGTGTGGAGCCCGGCTCCGGCCAGAGCCCGGCGTTCCCGGCCGGGGGGCGGGGGCGGGTCCCGGCACTGCCCCTCGCCGGCGGGAGGCGGCCCGGGCGGCGGGGGCGCTGCCCGCCCGCAGTGGCCGCTCGGTGTCGCCCTCGCAGCGGGCACGGCGGCGGCGCCACCTCCGGGGCAGCCCCAGCGCGGCGGCGGAGGCGCCGCTGGAAGCGGCAGCGCCGTGTCCGTGTCCGTGCCCGCCGCGCCCGGCGGGTCGGGTGTGCTGCGGGGCAGCGCAGGTGAGCGCAGGTGAGCGGGGCGCCGGCCCGCCCGCCCGCCGGGCTTGCGGGTGGCTGCGGCGGGGCGGGCGGGGCGCGGGTGGCGGGGCACGCACAGGTGATGGCGGGGGTGGCGGGGCTGAGCGGGAGACGGGCCCGGCGAAGCCAGTGCCCAGCGCCCGAGTAGGGAAAGTGTTCCCCTATTCGGGCCCGGAGCAAGGTCCGAGGAGGGACCCCCCTCCTCCGTCGGGCAGACACGAACCCTCCGGGCTGCCCCGTAAGTGCAGCAAACCTGTGTCGACGTAGGGGTTCAATTGCAAATTTGGGAGTATAGACGAGGATCCTTAACGCACTTGTTCCAACTTTTAAGGCCGAGTCTAATGGGAAATGGAAATCTGGCTCGAAGTCATCCTTCCTGTTGTTGACATCACCTGAAAACTCCACTGGAAATATTTCCACTAGTGTACTGCAAACATCAGCCGTCCCTGAGGTCTCAACGCCTTGTGAGTACACACTGGCTGCTGGTAGAGCTCTCTGATTGTGAAAATCCATGGCTATGCCGTGTAATTGTTCTGCAGTGTTCATTTTATTGCAAACATTAATAAAGGGTTTATCATGCCCTGGGGTGTTGTGTGCATTACAGCATAATCTGTAGACAACACTCTGTTTTTTGTTTTGGGGTTTTTTTTCAGTCATAATTTAGTATCTTCATATTTTTGTAATTATGTGGGAAGCGATTCTTTGGGTTCCTGGTTGGTATTTCTGCAATGCACACGACCAAAAGGACATGTTGTCTGCCACTGGATACCTTTTGTTCACAGGGAAAACACTGAGAGGGGTAGAAAGTGTCCTGCTGGTAGGTGGAACAGTTGTTTAAATGAACTTAGAATGTCCTAGCAATGTTAAAGGAGCAATGTATTTGGAATATTAGTAAATCTGTCTCTATTCAAAGATGGAAAAACGTAACCGTGCCTGAATTCTTATGCAGCATTGGTTAGGCATGGACCAGATCCTCTAGTAGGACTGAGGTTTATTATGAGGAGAATGTTATTTACTTGCTTTCAACGTGTTATGTCTGGCTGGGCAGCTGGTTTTATAACAACTTATTTTGGCAGGCTCAAGTTCCAAGTATTGTGTAATCTTCACTCTCTAGATACTTGGAAAACAGTGTTTCTGGAGATCTGTGATTACATATAGGATCTTCAATTGCATTGCAGACCCCAAGACATGGTGTAATGACACTCCTTCAGAACTTCATAACAATTTCTTAGCAGAAAACACTAGTTGAATACACTGCATGTAGCAAAACTAGAGCTGGTTGGCTATATAAAGTATTTAGATACCTGGTATGTTATGTGTGCCTGTTTGTCAGTGAGGACCTGTTAGTCTGCACTAGGGAATAGGAATTCTGTAATGGCTTATCTCCCTGTTTTTTTGTTTGAAAATAAACTGTAATAAAAGTCAGAAGGGGCTTTGTGATGGTACTCAGGAAATTTTTCACTTTTCCCCACTCCTTAGTATTTACCCAGACAGTGCTATCAACCTCATGTAGGAGACTGGCTTTGAACACTAGAAATGAAATGACCAGTAAATTATGGGTAAAAATAAAGTGATCAACTCCTAATCATCCAGGTGCTTTCTTCAAGCTTTTTGCAGAGCTGTTTTCTTTTTTTGGGGGAACAGAAATTGTTTGGACTAATGGGACTCCAGTGTTGGCTGCTATAATATAGTTGCAGTGCCAGGCTTAGCATCCTGACCTTGTCACAGGTGGCATGTTCTGGAGTTCAGATTATCAAATGTATGATGTTCTTTGACTAGATTAGATGAATGATATCTTAATAAATCAGGTGCTTGTAGGGTGTGGTAATGAGCCATTGAGCCTCAAGCTGCATTTCTTCATCTGTCTTCAACTTCACCTCTGCTTGACTTTGCCAGTGAGTCATTTTGTGATGTAAGAAAAAGACTTTGCTGCCCCTTACTCACTAAATCTGTATAACAGGTCTAACAATACTTATCAGTTTGGATGGCTGGCATAACAGTGACCGTTTCTAAAGCACTTTTAGGTTCTTAAATTAATTTTACCATCTGGTCTCTTTCTAAACTTTTTCTACTCTTCTTGCCTCTGGTTTATCTCATGCTGCCCTTCAGAAGGTGGACTTGTGAATGCAGGTGTTTAAAAATGAGGAAGAGGTGGAATAAATGTGTGAATTCCAGGCCTGTTTGTTGTGTTGCTTTGAAACGCATCTGTGTTGGGATGTTCTCCATATCCTGCTTCCTTTGACAGGTTTTGATGACATGACACAGTGATACTCTGTATCAGAAGTGGTGCTAGCTTGGCCAAACAAGTGTTTTTCTTGTTTTCCGGAAACCCCTTGAGATCCAGTTGCAGATGTGCACGTCTTGAAACAGGGAAGGATACTGTTTGGTACTAGGATCAAGAGTGTTATCAAAAAACAGTAATTAAATGAATAAATGTCAATTTAGAAAACATTTTTGAGAGGTGCGTGATGAATGAATGAAGCATTAGGGCTACACAGGACTTTGAGGTTAAAAGAAATGTAGCACATTACTACTAATAGTTAATCAGGTATATTGGAAGAGGAAGATGTCTTCTGAAAATAGTCCTGCTGTGGTAAATGAAGCCACACTGGGTGGGTAACCAATACATTACATCAGCTTGAATTCTTGCATTATCCAGTTGCGCAGGGTTGTCTCGATAGCCTCAGTGATGCACTTCTGATGGAATATCAAGTGCACAGCTAGCTCATGATATGGTGGAGGACTGTAGATTGCTGGCTTGTTCTTCCACTGTTTTACTTTTGAACCTTTGTCAGTGATCCTGCCATGTGTGACATGAAATTCAGGGTCCTTAGAATCTACAGGAAGACTTTCTCTTAGTGCCAGCACTCATGTCTTCCTGTCTGCTCCTCTGTGGCTCTCTCCTTCCTGCTCCTCAGACCTGCTGCTGGTCCTCCAAATCCTAGCTGCATCTCATCCGAGCCATGGCCATGGGGGAAGCTGGCTGTGATTGGGAATGGGATTTGGGCACATCTGTGGGAATTGGTAGATGGAAGCATTTGATGTAGATGCCAACCAGATGGAGTGTACTGGGGCTATGGGGTAGCTGGGGTGTGATGTGCTGAACATGGGCACCCTAGTGGGTTTGCCCTAATCCTGAAAAAAATTTATCTGCCCCTATGCCAAAAAAGCCTAAGCTTTTTTAATCTTATGTTGTGAACAAAAACATATTTGGAGCACTCTTCAAATCATGAGTTTTACTTCCTTCAAATCCTGGTTTTAAACAAGCTTCTTGAAACAGTGTATCCCTTACTTTCCCTTTCTCTCTCATGACTTGCCACCTTCCCCACCTAAACACCATCCATTTTTGTGAAGTGAGCCACTGAAGATGAAGGTTCTGTGTGCATGTGCTGGCGTGCTGTTGGACAAAAACATTTTCATTTGCATTATAGAAAATGCATTTGGATTTGACGAAAATTAATTCCTTAAGGGTGTGTATCTTCATTGTGTCTACATTGCAGTGAGCTAATTTCCTCTTCCAGTGTGAGATGCAGATTGCTTTAAGTCAGTCAGGAATATCTTCTGTTGTTTTAACAGCATCTGCAATGTGACATCTTAGCAAGACCTGTTGCCAGTCTATTTTTATTAAGGCAATACACTTCTGAGTTAGAATTCCCTAAATTGTCTCAGATAGGTCAGTCACTGAGGAAAAGTGCCAGCTTTATAAAATAAAAAAGCACCATGAATGCATGGTAATTATATAAAAGTGCAATATTTAAATAGCTTTTTAACAGTTATCACAGTGAATCATTTTATGTATGTTTTACTTTTATTAAGAGTTTGGTGTCTGCTTGTGCAACAGTTGCAGAAACTGCAGTTGGTTCAGAGTCTTGGGCAGGATATGATCTTTTCACCATATCAAATAATTGCACTAATATCTGCAAGGCATGCCCACTGCTTAAATCAATTAATTAGTATTTTGTAAAGCTTACATATGAGTAATTTTCCTTAATTTTCTCTCTGACCACTTTTGTGATTAGACCATGTCTGGCTGAAGTCTTTTGAGAGGATTTAGGGATGGGGGCACGAGGGTTGTCTTTCTTCTGGCTGTGGAATTATCTGCCTGCCATCTGCAGTCTTTCATTGACATTATTGTTCTGGTTTAAATCCAGGTTTTGAAAGGACAGCACTTTGTTATCAGTTTGTCTTTTCCAAACTTTACAGCAGCTCCTGAATTCTCGAAAGTATGTTGTTTTCCACTGCTTCTGTGGAAAATCAGGCCATGCTCTTTCCATATGCTCTTGTTTCCATTTCTTTCTCTAAGAGTGGTATTGGGCTTAAGTCTTTACATTCTTTCTCTTTTGTTATACTGTGATGTAACTTCAACCTTTGACTAGCTCTCAAGATCTAAAATTTGCGTTTGTGGAAGCACATCAAGTTCGTATAGACATTTTTTATGGTAACAAAATTGCAGAAGTATGTCTTTGATGTTACATTTTATCGCTGTAGAGTGCTGAATGATGGAGTTGCAGGCAGATGTCACAGAAGATGCTGACCAGCTTTTTTTCATGTCAGAGTCAGAAGATAGAATAAGAATAAATATTGTGCTTTAACTTGTATCATTTTATTATTTGTACAGTAAATAGGAGTCTCTGCCCTAAAGACTTGATAGCATGGAAAAAGCTCAGAGACAAGATGTAGCTGAAAATTGTTTTTCTTCCCTGTGTTACACTGCCTGCAATATCTACTTCTTTCACAGGTTTAGGTTCTCTTAGACATGCTGAAGTCCAGTCTCTGGACTTGTTAGATTTTATGTCAGATGCCCCCCCACCCCCAAAAAGAGGTTGTAGAGGATCACATGGTTCCAGCCCCTGAACAAATATAACTTTACTTCAGCACAGGAGATGGTGCCCCAGTTTTGATTTGTGATGATTTCTTCCAGAGGTGTGTTAGTTTCCTCCTGGAACAACTGTTCAATATGGTTGAGTGCCCTGCATTAGTGCAGCCATGGTTTGTCTATTGATATGAATGGCAGACTCATGTGTGGAGTAAGCTGAAGCATGAATTTGAAGTACAGTATTTTATTAATGAACAGTCAGCAACAAAGCTGGATTCTTTTCTTTCCCTGTAAGATTACACTTAATCAGTCTGGGGAAGCTAGGGTTTAAGAAATCCTGACCTGGCATGCTGGGTGAGGCTGTCATCCGTTTCACTTTCTCTGGTGTCTTGGCAAGTGGAGGTGCTCCTGCAGATGAGCAGCTTAGTTACCAGCATTCCTGATAAAGCAGAACTGAATTTGGGTGAATGAGGGCACCTCAGTCAAGAGAGTATATTGATGTTAGCTGTCTTAGTTTCTGCTAGCCTCAAAGTAAGACAGATCAAATCTAATTTATTTACATTCTAATAATGTAAAGAGTGTTCAAAAACTTACCAAGTGACATAGATGCCTTTGAGATCTCTTTGAAAAACTGAGTGCCTAAAGTTA